AATATGAATTGTCTTCATATTCACATACCATGGTATGGCTCATCGCTGGTCTCAACTTTAACGAAGCCCAACTAAAGCCAAGCATAGTTTCAGTTTTTTGATAGTCACCACCTTCGTTAACATATCCGCAGGATTCTCAGTTGTATGCATCTTTACCAAAAATAAATACCCATCTTTTAAAAGATATCAAATGAAATGATATCAAAGCTAGATATGTTTCGTCCTAGCATGAAAAGTAGTGTTCTTAGCAAGATGAATCACACTTGTAATGTCACTGCAGAGTTTTCCAATTCCTTGCTCTTTGCCCAATTCTATCGTGAAACTATGTAGCCAAATAATCTCATTTCTTGCAGCAATGATAACAACATATGCAGCCTCTGTAGTTGAAAGTGAAACAATCTTCTGCAACCTAGAAATCCAACTCACTGCTGTGTTTCCCAATATGAAAATATATCCCATTGTACTTCTGATATTGTCCACATCTCCTACCAATCTGATTCTACAAAACCCTATAGATTGATCCCTACACTTTCATAACAAAGTGTCTTATTGATCGATCCCCTCAGATACTTAAGAATCCACTTTACAAGCCCCAAATGATGTCTGGTTGGATTGCCCATGTACCTGCTCACCACTCCCACTGCATATGTAATATATAACATAATACAAGCTATCACAAACATCAAAATTTCAACGGTTGAAGCATACGAAGTTCTCTACATCTGTGCTTGGTCTACTTTAGAGTTAGGTGATAGCTCTTTAGATAGTTCGAAGTGACTATCTAAGGGAGTGCTAACTGATTTAGCCTCACTTATGTTAAGCTTCTGTAGGAACTTCTCAACATACTTTGTCGAAGACAACTTCAATTTTCCCGCACTCCTTTCCCTCTTGATTCTCATCTCAAGGGTCTTCTTGATTGGACCCAAATCCTTCATCTTGAACTCAGTTTATTATTTTTTCTTCAACTCTCTGATTTTATCCATATCTGCCCCTATAATCAACAGGTTATTCACATAAAAAAGATACAAAATATAATAGTTACTAAAGTGTTTAATGTAGCATCAGTGGCCTGCCTGGTACTTCATGTACCCATCGTTTGACATGAACCTCTCAAACCTCTTGTACCACTGGCTTGGGACTGCTTCAAGTCATAGAGACTCATTTTTTAGTTTACAAACCAAACCTTCTTTGTCTGGAACCTATAACCTTGTGGTTGCACCATGTACAGTTCATCCTACAGGTCTCCATTTAAAAATAGCTATTTTTATATTCATCTGCTCTAAATTTAGATCTTTCATTGTTACCAGAATCAGCACAACCCTAAAAGTAGTCATCTTCACCATTGAGAAGAAGTTTTCAGAATAATCCACTCCTCTCTGCTAGAAACTCTTCACAGCAAGCCTTGCCTTGTTGCACTTGCTACCATCTGACTTCTCTTTCAGCCTGTAGACCCACTTGTTGTGCAGTTCTCTTTTGTTATTTGACAGTACTGTCAAATCCTAAATCTAGTTTGACTCCAAAGATTTCATTTCTTCATCATGACAAGCTCCCACTCCCTTGAAACTTTAACTGGAGTGACCTCCTTAAAGCACACTGGTTCACCTCTATCAATTATGAACAAATAGTATAAAGAAAAGAGAATACCTTGTTTTACTTTGTTGGATCTTCAGAATTCTGTAGCAATTGATTGAAGAACTTCCAGTGCTCCTTCTAATTGAGCAAAACTTCTTTCTTCATGTTTCTAATCATCTAACTCCACATATCTGGATTCTTCAGAAGTACTGACAAAATATCCTAAGTTCTGACCCTATGTTTGTACATCTCCATTTCGTTCAAAGCAAAATTCCTGCTTCTAAAGAATTTTTAATTATGATAATCCAAGAAATTATACCCAAATTCAAATGAGTCATATCCAATGAAGGTGTACTTTAAATTATACAATGCATCTACATGCACATATGCAGAACACTCAAATACTCTTAAATGAGATAGACATACATTTTCGTCCCTCCAGACTTCTTCAGGTAAGCCTTCCTTCAAAGGCGCTGATGGACTACAATTTATCAGATAAACTATAGTGTTAACAGCTTCAGCCCAAAACTATTTTAGCAAGCCAACATGCAACCTTATAATAAATGAATTTACTTGTGAATTCACAGTCATATAAATGTGCCATTGAGTACATGATAATATAAATGTAATTAATTAAGTGTGAAGAGGCACCTGTCTTAAAAAAAAACTGGATCCAACTTAATATTGTGAATGTTTATTGCCAAGATCAGTTTATTAATCTTTGGTCCAAAGCAACCAATAAAAATGTGAAAATCGTAATCTAATTTTTTCCTAAACCTTAGCTCTAAGTGTCCATAGCTTCTTTATTTCATAAGTATTATTTGGTATTATCAAAGGTGTACTGACACTACTAGATGTCAACATGTAACATATTTACTAAGTGATGATAACCTTGTCTAACATATGTTGTTTATGTCATGGGAAGGTTATACAGCTTCATTTTCTCTTTATTGTTCTATTTTGTAATTCTTTTCTCTCACAACGATTTATCTATTATTTTGAAGTGTATCTAATTATCAGTTCTACTAACAGTCAAATTGAAGCTAGTAAATCAATATAAGGATATTTTTCTATTGTAGACTATGTTAGACATTATGCTTAATTTTCTTCATTATCTTCAACTCCATGATCGCATGCTTTATCTATTTTGTATATTTATGAAGGAATAGAGTGTATAAGTATTAAATTACACAAATGCAAACATATATACACTTCTCTTTGTACATAAAATTTTATTCTATCACTCATTTAAATTTCAACTTTGTATGTAAGATGATTATATATATATATATATTGATAATATGTAGCAATAAAAGTCATTTTGGTTGATTTCATTCACTATTAAATAAACATCAACTATTAATCTTCTTACAATTATATTTGCTATTAATAGTTAATGTTTGCTTGCATGTATATGTGCGCATGAGTGTGTGTATTTGTGTGTGAATGTGTGTGTACTCCATATGCTTATTGGGAAATTATGACTCAATAAGCTTGTCTTTGATGGAACAATTATGATTTATTAATTTATTTTATTTAAACGGAGCAAGTGTGACTTCATACGCTTAGTTTAAATGAAGCAATTATGACTCAATTTTTTTCTATTTAATTAGATGGACAGTGTGACTCCATATGCTTATTTTAGATGGAGCTAGCGTAACTCCTCAAGTATGTTTTAATTAAATTAAGAGACCTTGATTTCATAAGTTTCTTTAATTAGATGGTTATGTGTAAGTTGCATAAACAAGCTGTGGGCTTATTAAAACATTTTCTTTTATGAAAAATGTTAATTTTGTAGATATATACAATAAAAATATTATATGAATTTATTCTTATCAGGCAGTGTCGAGGGACACGGCCATTCCTCCATAATTAGAAGGACAATTTTATATGCTATGCTTTCTCTTTTATATAAATTCGAGACTTCCTTATTATGAACATAAGTTCCCCTGCTTATATTTCAACAATGTCTTCATATGCTAAAGTCATCAAAGTTTAGTACTTACTGTCATTGTAAGTCTCATAAATCAACTGTTGAGCTTTGAATTATCTACCGAAGCTCTGAAACACTGTCACTCATTTATACCTCAAGAACAATATTGACAAGAAGTTTTCCCAAACTTCCCTTCACTCAAACCACCTCGATTGCTTTTTTTACATCCCTACTTTCATGCACCAAGAAAAAAAAAACTCACTTCAACTTTCAACTTCATGGCATCCTCTTTCATCAATCATCGAGTGTGATGTTATAAGGGATGCCAAGAGCAATGAAACCTAACAATATTTTTTCTTAAGAGGGTAAGGCTTGTCATATTGAGATGGAGTTGGAGCTACTCTCAGAGTTGGGAGATGTTAGGGTTAGTTTTTAGGAGAGCGCAAAAGAGAGCGAGGGTTGATTTTTATTTTTATTATAATAATTAGAAAGAAAATTTTCTGTAAAAATTTTTCAAATCTTTTACTAATCTTATCAGGGAATTGCCGATATGCTACTACTTTTTCTTATGATTATACATTTTTTGTTCAATATTGTTGAGAAAAAAAAATAAAATTATATATATTTCACATTTATTATGACAAGTGTGTGTATTTATATTTAAAACCGTGAATTAATGTGAATGCATTGCAAAGAAAAAAGAGGAGAGAGAAATGTTAATCTAGAAAAAGAAATCCTAAAATTTCTTCTTAAAAAACTCAAGCACGATAATTTAAACTACAATGCGCAGCATTGTATCAACATTGGTTCTTCCCGCAATCCACTAATATGCTTGAATTGGGGTTTGAGGTCTGAAGCCAAGTTAAGTATTAAGTTACTTGGATTTACAAAATTAAAATCATAAGTTACTCACTATAAAGTTTTAAGAGATATTGCTTGCTTTAGAACTTATTTCTCTGGTTGCCTTGTTGGGGAGAGACCACTTGTTCCCCCCTGCGAAAGTTTCAACTAATTCTTGGACTCTGACGTTAGAGTTTGGCCAATCCGGTTAGCTCATTTTCAATCTGACCAATTCTCCATGATCTCATCTCTTGATTTCATCTTTTGAGCTCACCTCCAGCCAACGCACTTTGAGCTCGACAAATGAGTCAGCCTCAGGTTGGGCTGGCCGGTGCACCTCTAATATGTCGAACAAGTTCACTTTAATCCGATTTGTGAGTTATTCTTTGGAGTGTTTAGATGTACTATAAATCTATAAAAATAATACCCAACATGTCGATATCTTACAATTTACATGATATTTTGTTCATGTCATTGCCTTGTGACAGTGTTTAAATCATTCAAGTTTTTTAAAGCAACAATAATTCGTGACAAAATAGGATTATTGTTTAGATAATGATATCACTTCTCACAACATTGTAGACGAAAGTTTGGTCGCCCCGCCCAAAAACAAAAATCAATGGTGATCCCTCACCGCACATCCAACTTTGACCAAAGACTCATTTAATATGAAAAATTGGAAGGTTTCTGTTTACAATAAAGAGAAAGCGATGGCCAAACCAGCTACAAATGGAAGCAATTTCGCACCGCACCAATATAACACACACTTCCACCACACATCCACTCTTCGCCACGTGGACAAAACTCCCCCCCGCGCACCAAATGCAGCAGTGTAGAAAAACAAGACAGCCTTCTTCACACGTCATCCCACCCGCCCCGCTCCTTTGACTCCTCTCCTCTTCAATAAACCCCCCCCATCCTCCCAGCAACCCATTTCCCTTTCTCAAGCCCAACGCATGAACAATAACGCTGCGTCGAACGAAGAAGATGGGCAGAAAGGAGGAGATTGTTCAGCTACAGAACATCGGGGTTAAGGTTCCGAGCTTCTTCAGATGCCCAATCTCGCTCGATGTGATGAAATCACCGGTGAGCCTCTGCACCGGTATCACCTACGACCGTTCCTCCATCCGGCGATGGCTTGATTCCGGCAATAATACCTGCCCCGCTACCATGCAGCCTCTTCTCTCCACCGATCTCGTCCCTAACCTCACTCTCCAGAGCCTGATTAATTTCTGGTCGGCTTCCGTTGCCACCGATACAGCCACCTTTGTTCACCGCCATCCAGCGGCCGATATTCTCCGCGATCTCAGCTCATCTGTAAATCCTGCACCGTGCCTTAGCCGGCTTGCCGATTTTCTCCTCGATGCCGACAATGACGATTTCGACAAGAACCGCCTTATCGGATCTGGTAGCTGTGCGACCACACTTAGCGCCGTGGTTTGCAAAAATGGCTCCCAGATCGAAATCCTGGAAGCTGCTTTCCGGGTTCTAGCCCTAATCCTGACATCCGAGTTCATCGAGGAAAGCAATAAGAAGCTCGTGATTTCTTCCCTCGTCTCCAATCTTGATTCATCCGTTTCCAGTCTGCTTTTCCTGCTGGGAAAAAACCCCGATTCAAGAATCGAAGCTGCTCGGGTTTTGGATTCCATCCTAACTTCGGAGCCGGACTCTAGGGTTCCCATCTCGGAGAAACCGGATCTCATCCCGGAGCTGATCAGATTAATCGGATCCACGGAAGAAGGGGTCGGGAAGGAGAAGATGGACAGATCCGCGATCGAGGTTGGTCTCGCGTGCTTGGTGACAATCTCCGGCGTCCGGCGCGCGAGGGTGCTGATGGTGAAGAAAGGGGTCGTCACGGCGGCAAAGAATATTTTAATGGCGGATGCATCGACGGCCCCAGCGACTGCTGCGGAGAAGGCGTTAAAGCTTCTGGAGGTTGCTTCAGGGCTACCGGAGGGAAGATCGACCATTTGCGAGTCGGCGGAAGAGTTCGTAGAGGCGATTCTGGGGAGGATGATGAAGGTGGGGAGAAAGGGTACCGAGGCGGCAGTGATGGTTCTGTGGAGCGTCTGCCATCTCTTTCGCGATCAGCGGGCCGTGGATGCGGTCATGTCTGCGAACGGCGGCGTAACAAAGATTTTGCTATTGATGCAGAGCGATTGCTCGCCGGCGGTGAGGCATATGTCGGGAGACCTGCTGAAGGTTTTCCGGGTGAATGCGAAGAGCTGTCTCGCGGGCTACGACACGAAGACCACCCACATTATGCCGTTCTGAGAATTTGCGAACATAAAAATGTGAAATTTACATGTAAATTGTAGGGTTTTAGTCATGAAAAGAATACGAAAAGTCAATTATTTTTCTTCAACTTTACACAGTGGTGAATGGTGGTCCTTTTGACGGTTGCTGATGGCTTGTGTTTTTTTGCAATATTAAAAAAAAATGTAATGGTATATTGTCATTATACTGACCAGCTGAAATATAGTAAAAGAGAGATGAATTGTTTTTATTTGGTCTGTTAATAAGCTGGAGACAAATCTAATATGTATTATAATAAGTGTGAACTAACTACTTCATTGCTAATGTAGTGTTGTCCAACTGTCAATCTTGAGAAGAACTCTCGGATGGAATTGAGAGTATTTCGCTTTAATAGTTGCTTGGACTGCACAAATGAGATCCACAAATGTTTTTTTAGGACAAAACACCTTTAAAATGTTTTGCTTGCATCAATTCTAATAATTTTTTTTAAACTTCTATTCGCATTAGATATAGTTGGTGTCACGAAAACAAATGTTTTACATATGGAGAGCATGCGTAGATAGATTCTAAATTATTGACAGGTCGTTTTTTTTAAACTTCTATTTGCATTAGATATAGTTGGTGTCACGAAAACAAATGTTTTACTGATGGATTTACAGATGGAGAGCATGCGTAGATAGATTCTAAATTATTGACAAGTCGTTCACCAACAAATCTTTATTTTTCATGTCTTCTTATGTCTCTATGGCATGGCCAAATTGCGGCCATAGAGAACTGATGAATAAGGTATGGATGTTGTATGAGGCAGACCTCCCGAGTTCATATGCTCAGCTATCCAAGCCTAGATTGACGAGTTGTCTAGTATGAGCTGCCAAGTGAAAAAACGACCGAGTACGGGCTACTGAGTATAGGCCATCAAATGAATATTTTCCCCTTATCCATCAAGCTAAAGTAGTCCGCCTCATAAAATGACCTGATTTGTTTTGCGATATTTGGATTAACGTTACCATTGAAGATCCAACTTGAAGTGCAACCTGATATGGTGATGAATCATCTTCAGAGTCAAAGAAGGACCTCATGAGTACAAGAGGAAATGGAAGGAAAAATATGGTGCTATCAAAGGATAAGACTCAAGAGATAATATTAATTATATGTCAACATGAGAAGAAGACAAAAATGGATAAGTCAAAGATCTTTAAAGATCTATTCATAATGATTAATTATTTATATTATAAGAGAAAACCCATAAATAAGGCAAGATCCATACAACAAACGATGATCAATCAATCATAGGAGACCATTCATCTCTAATGAACATTGGGATCCCCGCCTTTGACCCTCCCTTTAGCTCATTCTTTTCCCTCATTTCTATCTCATTGTTTAAGGAATTCACATTCACAGACATATCAGGATTCAACATCTAATGTATATGATTATTCCCCAATATTCTTTAGGGAGGCAGTTTTTTTTCATTTTGAGATTTCTTTAATTTACATCCTTCATCATAGTTTAGATTATCACTACCACTTCATTATCAAGAGATTATATTAGTTGCTACTTTAGCTTCAATAACTGAAATACACACTTACCTAATATAATACCTGAAAATATGTTGCTTGAAATGAAACTTCAAAGTCACTACAAGGTGAATAGATAGCGTAACAAAGTTTATTCTGTACTCGAATGTGTGCTACTTTGATTGGAAACACGCTTACCTCTGAATTTTTAGAAATTTTAATCGCTTTGAGTTTTGATTTGTTTTGTTATGTCATCACAGTTTCACCTTAAAAATTATTATTTAAGTGGTGCTATTTTTGGGCTCAGTTATAAGGTACTTGACGGTCCATTGCCTTTAAATTTATGGATATGATCTTAATTTTTTAAATGTTTATAACACCACTAAGGATTTTTGTTTTAACATTGTCAAAATAAATTATAAGCTATTTTTGAAATTAATTTTACTAGTTTTTTTCTTCAAAAAATTTAACTTAAAAAGATTATATATTTTTTTCTTCTGGTACTACGATCATAAAGAAAATTTTTTTTTCGTTATTGGACGACTTTCGTACTCCATTAATAAACAACCTTCCATTTTGTTTGTTGCTTGGGCATTCTATATCCTAATTGAATAGATGTTTTCTCCCTTTGCCATTGTTCTTCCACTTGACTAACTGTTCGTGGTAGCTTATTTGGTGCGGTGGCATTTTCAAAACGAACCTGATCTGTTTGAGTAAACTGCGTTTTGGCAGCTTATGTGTTTTAAAACGCTGAAAATAGCGTTTTCACACCGCATCTATCTAAGTGTGGTGACAGCTTTCTTGTTGCAGTCTAACTTTTTCAAAAAAATAAAAATTTGTAATAGCCACCGCAAATAGCTTGTCAGCAGATTATTTTTAATCATTTTATCAACATATTATTCAATAAGTAGCTCTGCTGTGAGGATTTTACTCTTTTTTATTATTATTTATTTATTTTTTTTCTTTGGGCACTTTCATACATAGTATCCAATTCTCATCTGTTTACATATCCAACCCCTAAGCCTTACTTTTATTTTGTTAAAAAAAAAATATTTTATACTAAATCAAACCTTAAATTATTAAATTTTATTTTAGCTATCAAGCAGTGGCAATATATTGCACCCCTACCGACAGTCCTTAATCATCCTCAAATCTAACTATGGTTTTGACATTTCATCTTTCCTTTATTTTTTTATGGAGACTCCTTGAATTGAAACAAACCTATTTTACTTCTCTAATTTGTCCTCTGAGTTGAAAAACTCTCTCATGGAAAATGATTTGGGAGGAAAAAAATTAAGTTATTTAATTCAAATTTTTTTCTTTAATTTCCACTATAACTCCAACACAATTTGCAGATATTATTATCTTGCGATTGTTTATTTTCACATATTTTTTTTTTATTTTTATTCATATTTTAGTGATTTCAACTACTACAACAACCGCAACCTCGAATACATTTAAGGTTGTGTTCGGGGCAGCGGTGTAGTGCTGCGTAGCACTTTCAGGTGTATGTCAAAACTATGTTTTATTTGCTTTTTAAAAAGGTGTGGTAGGAAGCCGTGCTTTGTAACTTGACTTGATCATCATATTTTTTAAAATAAAATAAATTTGAAATAATTACTACAATTTTTTTTAACAATAATTTCTTCTGCAATATCTTCACAACTACTTCATCAAACAATTATCATTATGTCAAAAAAATATAGCATAAAATTGATGTGAAGACTTTTCTTTTAATAGTGATAATATAAACTTGTATAAGTGTTCTTATATAATAATTCATTACATACAAGATTTTCTGATTAAATATAATTTTTAAATATAAATATTATGCATGTAATGTAATTATATGAAATGTGAAAGTCTTTTGTGCTGATGTAAGATAGTGTTCTTTGATGTTGTAAGTTTGACTCAAAGAGGATAATAAGGAAAATAAGGCACTGAATTTAATTTTACTTCTTAATTGTTGAGGGTTGTTGAAGTAATCAAAGTTTAGGTTTTGGAGTGTATTAACATCATTCAATGAATTGCATAAGAGTATAATGATATATGCTACAGTTTGTGACGTGTCGTGCAAATATTTGTTTGGCATTACATGCACTCATCAACCATATCTCATTAAATAAATAAGTTTATATACTGTTAATTATTTTTATAAATTTCATCAATTCCTTTGATGTAAAAAATCTACCATTTTAATTTGTTATTGATGTATGTAAATAAAAAATTATCGTAAATATTAAAGTATTTAAATTCTTTAGGCTCAATTTTGAATTTCTTCTATTGTTCTATTTATTTATTTTTTTCGCTAAAAAGTCGATAAATGTTGTTGTGATATCTAAATATACCAGTTGATGTAGTATATCTATAAATCAAACAGGAGAACGATTGACGAAGCGAAAAATGGAACAAGAAAACATTCACATCAGAAAAGAACACGCAGATATACGTGGTTCGGCAAATTGCCTACGTCCACGGAGTTGCAAAAGATTTTACTACTTGAGGATTTTACACCAGTCGATCACCTCGACTTACAAGAGAAATCACTCACTTTCACTTCGTTGCTCTCTCTTCTTTTTCTCTCTACACAGAAATACACCGAAGAAGACAAACTTACAAGAGAAATAAACCCAATTTCACTTCTGTCATAAGTTACCACGAAGAAGCATAGGGAGAACAGTCTTCTTTTTCTTCCTTCTTCTTCCTTCCGCCGCAAGGAACTACCGCTTGCACTTCTCTTCCTCTGCACCGAGGAAACCGTCCTTTATTCCGAGGAAACCGAAAAAAAACTCAAACTATGACTGCTAAACCCAAGGAGAGCCATCCGAAGCTTTTATCAAGAACAGGAAGCGGGAACGGGCGTTGGCGGGAACAATTCCGCGATTGAGCGAGAGCGGGATGAGTTGCGACCTTTCGTGACAAAGGAGCAGGAGCAGGGTCGCGATGTTTCGCGGACGGGAGTGTTGAAGCGGGATCGAGAGGCGTGGATCGGGCTCCAGCTTAACAATAAAAATGTAATAAATAGATTAATTTCGCTAAATTGCCTTATTATTTCTTCTTTTTGCTTTAAACCTCTGACAATTATTAAGTGTTCTATGGATAATACTTTATTAATAACACTTGGCTGGCTAATTTGAAGACGAGCAATATTGACTAAGTATGGCTATGAAAGGTAGAATTGACTTGTTGGATTTTGTAGCCTACCATTTAGAAAGTGTAATGAGACTATCAAAAGGTGCATTTTTCTAAAGCATGTTCCATGGATAATAGTTGGTTGGTAGCACTTGGCTAGCTAATTTGAAGAGAGCAATGTTGATTAAGTATGACTATGGAAGGTATTGTTGCATTTTTCAGTCTACCATTTAGAAAGTGTGATGCTACTATCATCAAGTGCATGCTTCTAAATCAATGGGATTAAGTATTTTAGGTGTTTTTTTGGTTTCTAATCAAATATATTCATTTAAATTTTATTTTTATATTATTAAATAAGGAGAATAAAAATAATTTAAATATCAAATTATTTTAAATGTAAATTTATCATCATTAGAACATTTTCTTAAATATTTCATGAATAATATTAAATTCACTAAAATAACATAATTGGGATTTTAAGCCTACTTACTTCAGTGTATTTTAAAGTTAGCTTCTGCATATAAAATTTGATAGGTTATATGACT